ATGATTTACTATTTCGATAGTTAAAAATTATTCTTCTTTCTTTCCTTTTTGAAGCTTTTTTCATCCATCACTGGGGACAGCAGCACCACCATCCCTCCCCCCACAAGYTTTCCTGGCACTTGTTACCATAGTAGCGAATCRACCAATGAAGCTCAAGGAGGCTGCTTTGCAYCAACGCAAATGCGGCAGATTCCTTTAGATGCATTCARACAGCTTTGCACTCCYARTGAARCCGAACAACAAGACAAAGATGACAMAGAACCTTCCTCATCAAGAAGAAAGTATGTTCAGCACTGCCYCTCGTCTGAAGCCAGTCATTTGTCATCGAAATTCCTTATAGACACGATGGCGTCGCATATTGAGACSAAGCCTGAATTTCTTGAAGAAATAATTGTTAAGCTGGAAAAGTTTTTGATTCAGTGGGATTGACTTGTGCTCGTCTCCCATTGGTGAGTARAAAGCCTTGATTTRATTCTTTTTAGAGAATCRTTCGATTTTGAATACGACACTGATGTTTTGTTCATCAGGGTTGTATCAATCTAGATGTTTTATTGCATAGCGTTACCAGTAAAACAGTAATTGCGCTGATGTTTTATTCATCARCGTTGTATATCTTTTATTCATCAGTTTTGTGTGACATAGCTGATGTTTTAATCATCAGAGTTRCGTGACATWGCTGATGTTTTATTCATCAGCGTATTCTGTTTTATATCGTTAACTACGCTGATGTTTTATTGTATCGTTTTGACTTGACTGATGTTTTATTCRTCAGTGCTATATATCGCTAATGACGCTGATGTTTTATTCATCAGAGTCATATGAGGTTAACTTCGCTGATATGTTATTCATCAGTGTTTTATGACATATATCTGATATTTTATATGTTATTTGTTAAATCTCAAGGAATTTGAGGTTCTAGTTKTAGATTTAGACGTGATCGAATGTACGTGACCACGGTGACGTGACAGTATACCGACTTTTGAAAACAAAGCAACCAAACGTTTTCATGAAAC